CCTTTGATCTTCTGGTAGGAAAGATCTACACCTAGCCTTCTCGGACAAAAAATCTCGGAGGGCCCGTGTGCAAGTTGCTCACGTTAAAGATCCCTTGGTGGTCTAAAATCGATAAGAGTAGGCTTCAGCCGCCACCTGGGCAAAATTCAAAATTTCCTACCAACTGAAAATATTAGGAGTGTCCCGCGCGCTCATACGACCTATGCAGTTGCGAGCGCCGTAAAACACTTCACAAAAGCAAAAAAACACATGAAGAGAAACGCCACTTTAGAATCCACTGGCTCACTCTTTGTGGCTGTTGCAGTTACATCTGGCACTAGTAGTTCAGATTTATGTGTATTTGTTGTTGTATGGTTACTTAACCCTTAGTTGTACTTTTGGGGGAGGCCTCTTTTGATGTTATGTTAGTACTTCTGTTTTCTTTGCTTGTTAGTATTGAGTTGTTTATTTTTTCCTCCAGAAAATTGTTGTGATTGTTATTGATGCTAAGAGAATTCTTTAACTCTTTAAAACAAATTGTACTTTTATTTGTGGTAGAGTCTGCGGAATGCCACTTAGATCTGTGGTAACCATTCGTCTCGATAGATGACCAAAAACAAGAAGGCATCCCTGTCCTCTCAATGTTTTTTTGTCCCTCATTTGTTAGGGAATGCCAATGAAAAAATATTCCTTCCTGACCTTTTATATTTACTTTGTCTGGTTTTGCATTTTGCCTGTGGTGTTCAGCCGTAAGCAGCCAGCTTACTGTAGATTCTTTCGCCCTCTTTATTCTACTCCTTGTCGTTTTACTAGGCAAAATGTGTGAGAAGCCAGGCTTTCGGTGCTCGGTGAGCTCCCGGTCTGTTGTGTTGTTGTAGCAGTCCACTCCTTGCTGGCCTCACTGGCTCTTCTGACCCTCCACCCCCTCCTTCTATGGGTGGTTGGAGGGTGCTGTGGTGCGATTTGTTCCTTTTTTCCTATCAAACATCTCTAAAGTCCTTTTCTCTCTTTCTTCTTTTGTTTGTATTTTACTCTAGTAACACTACTGATCTTTGGCACTTTAATGACCTGTTTGTGGTTGCAAGTGCCTTAACGCTGGGAACCCAATGTTCCCCCTCCTTCCCTCCCTGTATACTGTGTCTGACCATGCCCATGTTCCTATCACTAGCCCCCGGGGAGAGCCTGTCGGATGACCCGCCCTCCAGCGGGCCCCACAGTCCCCCACAAGGTAACCCACAGCGCTCACTCAGCTCAGGGCTGGTCCTACTCTCTCACTTCTCCGCAATTGAACATCTCATGTCTTTCATTCCTGATGCATAAATATAGCCATCAGGGCTTTCCAGAAATTACAAAGGCTGCATGCGAATGGAATCTTTCTTTCTTTTTTTAAAAAATGTTTGTGTAGGGTGCTGTGAAGCTATCGCCTTGTACCCCTAGTCAGTTTCTTTAATTTCAAAGGAGACACACAGTAGGATTTTTTATTTGACATTTTTTCCTTTTCCTAGCTTTGTGTTAACAGAGCCCTATGTCTGAAGAGAATGTTTCAAGGATCTGTGGAAAAATGTCCAACTATTAGACATTAAATTTCTTATTTGAAGCATTTAGAACTTTCCCCTGAGTAAAATGTTCTGCCAGTGTAGATTTGTCCAACTGTGGAAATAAACCTAAAGAAAGTTGTGGGGTTCAGCATTGATGATTTTAAGTTTTTACATTTATATCAGTTGTACTTTACGTTACATGATTTAAGGTTTTTAGATTGTATTTTGTTTTACTGGCCTTAGTTTATAAGCACTCCTTTGTAAAATAGAACAACTTTGATATTTCTTTATGTGCTTTCTAGTTACTGACTTGTGTTTCAAATGTGATTTTTAAAAAATTCGTTTAGGGAGGGGTGTCAAAGATTTTTAACCAATAACTTTACATGTTTTTAAAAAAAAGTCTGTATTGTATTGAGCTCTTTGCAAATTCTTGGGACATCGTTGTGTATTAACCAACCTTACAACCTTCTCTTCCCCCCCCCCCCCCCCCCCGTCACTGACACCATTGCTATTTTGTTTCTGTCACCCTCTCAACTGTAATCTTTGATACAATTATGACCTATTCTTGTTGTAACTGCTGTAAAGTTGGTACTGAGAGTAAACCAAAACGTTGATGTGTACATGGGTGTGTCAAGTGAGCCGACCTACACACAACTTACATCAAATGGTTGCCTTTGTTATAAGACCAGCTGACAGCAATGGAGTAAATTTGAACAGGACAAAAACTCAGTTGGTTTCATTGGAACCATTTTTTTTATCAAGATTCAGAGCATATGAAATGGGTAATGTACAATGGGCAATTTTTATCCAATTTTGTTTTTTGGCATTACACCTTTTAGGTCCGTCTAATCTAAGAACACGTCTCTGTGTGGATGTTTCTGAAAAACGTTGATTAAAGGCACAGAAAATGTAAATTTTTCAGTTTCCTCGGACTCCCAAGCTTGATGGAAATTAAAAATTTTGAGAGCCGTTTTCTCGTTAATTTTACGTCTGAAACCATGCGACTTCCACCTCCTTCAATCGCAAATATCTCAACTTGTATTCAAGATAAATGGACAATTCTTTTAACAGAATGACAAATGAACACACGTTAAGATGATACAAATAAATCCACATGCCCAAAAATTGATGAGTGGCTGATTCCACTGTGCCGTGACATAAATGGTTCTTTGTGTGTTCTTCTCAAGGCTCTCAAATCCGTTTTTTTTTCCTCTCAAATCCGTTTTATGAAGATTCTGATGGGATTCCAAAGACATTTTTTTGGTTTGAAATAATGGGTGATTAGCCGTTGTTCGCTTGTTTGTGTACTTTGTGGGGGCTCTGTATTTTCATGTACTTTTGCTCCGTTTCTCATTGTTGATTGATTTTGTAAATTTCATTTCTCCCCACATTATAGATGGCAGACGACAGGAGAACTCTAGAGCAAAGTAAGTCCCTTAGGAATATTTCCATTGCCATTTATTAATTTTCAGTTTGTTCTTGAGAGTAGATGCTTTTTACATTTTTGATTGTGGGTGGTTGGCGGGTGCTCTTGTGTGGTTTGCTCTTTCTTTTCTACAAAACATCTGTCCTTATCTCTCCTTATTTTTTGTGTTTGTCATTCTCTTGCAACACCTCTAATCTTCGGCACTTATATGACTTTTGTGTTGCAAGTGGCCTATAACATTTTCTTTACAAAATGAAATACAAACACCCTTGATTGTTTTGTTCTACCAAAATCTGTCTATGTTGAGTAATCTATGGGATGTGGGTGGTTGGCGGGTTCTCTGGTTTGCTCCTTCTTTCCTATCAAACATCTATCGTCCTTATCTCCCCTTCTTCTTTTTTTATGTTTGTTACTCTCTTGTAACACCTCTAATCTTCTGGCGTTCATATGACCTTATATTGTTGCGAACGCCGTAAAATCTCTACTAAAACTAAACTTTGGGATATGTAGATACTTCACAAGCCTGTTCATTCAAATTAGGTGATTTCTCATTGGCTAGCGTAGTTGAGTAGTTCCTGATGACTAACTTAATAGTTTGTTCGCCGTGTGGTAGACAGCAATGTTTGTTTGTTTCCTTGTACTCGTAACTTATGTTTGTGGTTAGTGAAATCACTGACTGGTGTTGGTGGCTGGTTGACGGGTGCTCTGATGTGGTATGCTCCTTCTTTCCTATCAAACCTCTTTCGTCCTTATATCTTATCCCTTTCTTTGTATGTTACTCTCAAGTAACATCTCTGACCTTAGAATTTATTTGACCTCTGTGTGGTACTAGTAAAACTTACTTAAAATTAAACAAAACCCCTAGCAACTAAGGCTGGTGTAGTGTTTGGCATGATTGTCTTGTTCATTGTTGTTTTACTTATAAATAAATACCGTAGCAAATATCCTTTTGCTTTGTAATTGTATATAAACTCTTCTCAATTTTTCAGACCTGCAAGAGAGAAGCAAGTGCCCAAGCATTATGAGGAAATGCCCAAGTACGAGGAAAACAAGTCTGCTGTAAGTGCTTTGGTTGATTCCATTTATTCTTACCTTTTCTCTTGTCTGGGGAGGGGGGCACTGTTAGTTTCTTCGTCTGGTCGTGTCTCACATTTGACCTTACAGGTGGTTGGTTGGACACTTGCTGCTTTTTTTTTTTTAATTGTATTTCTAGTTTTCAGAACAATTGAACTTGCTTTTACGACCGCCTGTCCAAGACATTCATCTATGCAAATGACTCCTATCCACTTCTCCCTTTGTGTTTTTAAAAATGGTATAATGACACTGTCTAAGATGATCACTTTTCTCCTCAACAATGGGTGGTTGTCTGGGACATGTTCGACTGTACTTTAAAATTGTGGCTTCTGTGCCAAGTTTCTTTAGTCGGAGATACGGATCTCATTAGAATTTTTGCCGGAGCAAGTATGGTAAGGTCTGTTCTTCGATGACTTTCATTTGTCATGGTATTTTGTCCTTGTATATTGCTATCATTAAGCATAAGCATTCAGAGCTCATAGTTGTAAGGGGTAAAGGGCCATATTCATGCAGTCTATTATCATTATCTTCACTATTATTATTAAAATTATCATGTTGAAATCGTGAATTTGTTACATCGAGCAAGGCTCACAAACTGTATTGCTCAGCTGAAAAATTAGAATAACTGGCATGTCTTTTATAATTTGTTTCAGGACTTTACGGATCGCAACAAATTTGCATTCTTGCCCGATGAGGATAACGAGGGTGCCCGCAGCGATGAGGGAGAGGGTGTGGCTTCATGATGGTCGCCGCTTAGACGAGAATGAGAGAGGAAGACAGAAGAAGATAGGATGAATAATTGTGTTAGTATATATGTAAATCAACTGTTGATGCCTGTTCAGTTACAGGCTGCTTGTGTGTGTGTGAGAGTGAGTGTGAGAGAGAGAAAGAAAGAAAAAGAGAGAGAGATGGAACAGAAGAAGGAATAAGAGTTTTTAAGTTACATGAGGATGTTGTTGTCTCTGTTTTGTTTGTTTTTTTGGGGGGGGTTTTGTCTTTTTTTCCTGTGTAGCCAGAGACTGTTTCTGATTTACTGAGACTGTGCTTGTAGTGTGGTGCCTTTGGTTGCTTTGTGTCTTAAGGTCTGGACTCCCCCCCCTCCTTTGTGGGAGGAGCTAATTCTTCATGACTAACTGAGATTGCGTGTTGATGGTTTGATATCTGGCTTTGTGACTGACCGCTGTCACTGGTTTTTACTTCATGAGGCGAGTGTTTCCACTGTTTTGTGGCCATTTTAGGGAAAAGTTGTGATTTGAGGGTGGAATTTTTTCCCTGTTGCTATTATTTTGCTGTTTGTGAGTTGCAAGGGAAAAAATTGAAGGTGGCGAGAATTGTGAGGACAGCTGAAGACAGTTGCAAAGATTTACTTTCTTTCTGAGTCACAGTGCGGAAAACCTAGGTTATCTCAATGTGTTTGCATACATGCAGCAATTGTCGTGTTTTTTGCTCAGCTCACAGGGTAGAGTTCCTGAGAGTCCTGATCTCTTTTCTCCTTGGCAAGTCTCGGATTTATCAGGGTCTTTTTAATTTGATTTTTTTTTTTAGTTTAATGGCTTCCACCTTATTTGTTCGTATGTTTGTTAGTATGTGTGTGTGGTTGTACCCTGCCTCATGGCTTGCTCTGTTTAGCCTCAACATCTCTGAGCTGTTACCTCCTCGGTGGTCCCTCTTCTCCTTCTCCTCAAACGCTGGGTGGGGGGGGGGGGGGGGGGGGGGGGGG